AGTGGAAACTTGAAGAGGGCATTGAGAATGTTTGGAAATCCAGTGGTCATCATGAAGAAGCAAATGGATAGCAATGGAACCCTAGTAGCTTCCTGAGCCTAAGGGCTGGCGTGTGGAATGTCTTTATGTTTTATGCAATTATCTGTTTGTTGAAATTGGCATAAATGAATAGAATCTTAAATTATACCATCTGTGCAAGACTCTGTTCAGACACTGGTGTTTACATAAATGAAATAAATAAAAACTCTTAAAAAAATTTTTTGAGCACATTCTGAGCTGGATAGTGTAGCCAGAACTTCAACTTCTTAATTGGTAATAATGTCAGAAATCACATAAAAAGTATTTAATGATAGCAGCAAAAATGACATACCATGAGAACGTTCCATGGCACAGTGTGTGGCCATCTCAGTTTGTAAGGTCCTGAGCACTTGGCTTCTGGGGTGGTAAATTCTTTTCTACTCAGTCCTGCACAGTGATATTAACCCTGGCCTACCTTTTATAAGGTAATTTCAGGGTCTCTGTGATATCTAAGAAACACTGCCCATCTGTTACAAACTTCATTATTTTTCCTGAATTTCTGTATTATTGCTAAATAGGATTTGGCATTTGTTGTTCTTTGTCTTCATTCATTTATTCACTCATTCCATAACTAATTGCTTCCTACTGCCAGTTTCCTAGTTCTGAATAAACAAAAAATCATGCTCTTCCAGTACTTGTTTTCAAGGACAGAACCACCTAATAAGCTGCTATGAAAATTAAATGGGTTAGTATATATAAAGCAGAATTTATGAGGTAGGGTCTATTATAATTTTCTTGATTTTATGGGTGAGGACACAGAAAGGATAAGTAACCTGCTTAGGATCACATGGCCAATAAGTGACAGAGCTGGATACAGTCTAGGCAGTCGAGCCTGAAGACCATGTCTGTGACGTCCACCCCGCCCCCCCCCCCCGCCATCAAAAACCCTTGGCAGAAAATAGTAAAAATATTGAACTAGCCAAGGCAAGATAGATACCTGAACTGCGAGGAAGGATCATTACCCGTTAGGGCAGCTGGAGAATATAGGTGCTTTTAAAGGGCTGTGGACAACAATTTGGACTCGACTCATGGGAGTCCATTAATCTCCAACTTTTTTTTGAAGCACAGTGGTAGAGCAATGATCCTATATAGCCTGTGAGCCCATATTTGAATTCTCTCTTTTCCATTTACTTTGCAAAGCCACTTTTTTTTTTTCATGAGAAGATTATTGGCTGTTATCCCAGGGAATCATTGTGAGGCTCAAATGTTACGACAGAAACTCTTTGCAAATTGGGATTTAAACTTTGCTTTGTTGGTTTCTAGGTATCTCCTCTCTGTTTTTGGTAATTGACCAGTGTGTTTACTTCTCTAGCTCTTCCTGCAAAGACAAAGGGTATGAAGATGTGGTTTGTAGTATTGGGAAGAACCCTTGGTTCTAGGAGCCCTTGGTTATAAATTCTAGTTTGACCACCTTTTTTAAGGCTCTTTTTTGTTCCCTAAGACTATATTATCGCTCTGTTCCCTTGAACCTCAGATTTATGAGTGACCTATAAATTATTTATAAAGTGTGAACTGATAGGTAAGTGCTATAGTGTTGTGCTGTCGATGAAGAATCTAAAGTCCTTAAACAGATACGGTAAGAGAGTGCAGCAAAATTAGTCATGCTTTGGTGAATTTTTTACCTCTTTCAAAACAACAAGTTGGTGTTTCTATCACAGGGAAAGTTTGGGGTTAGACGTGGTGCTTGTAACTATGACTCCGTTATGTCAACCAGGTGCGCAAAACCACACTGATGAAAAACATGGGGCCCAGTTCTTCCAATTTGAATGCCCCTAACTCTTTTGGTATGTTGGGAAAGTTATTTCATCTGTGATCTAAATTTCTGCCTAGATGGGGAAGTTTCCTGGGCTTCTTCAGCATGGTTAGCTTGTTGAACCACAGGATGTTGTAATGAGTTACTTACATCTGTTTCTTTGATTGAATTGTGAGCCTCTTAAGGGCTGGAGCCACCTTAGTACATATTTGTGTTCATGCCTAGGACATGCATAGTGCCTGGAGAAAATGTGATAATAAATACTTGACAAATAAATGAAGGAACTCAGCAAAATACAAGATAGGTTGTATAAATAACTTTTTTTCTTTCCCCAGAAAATGCAATCCTAATTCCAAAGAGATGAGAGCAGCCACTAACAACACCTGGACCATCCCTCAGGGATGTCCTCTTCTAGGACTTTGTAGGCTGTGAGTCTTAGGAAATAAGGGTATTTTTTTAAAGTGATTGATTTCACAAAGTTTATGTAACAATCTTCATTTTATAAATAAGAAAATTCCACCCAGAGAGCCATTTCACCTTTTATTTCCACATTTCAGAAAATGATATATATATATTTGTATTCAACTTAAGCACTGTTTTGTAATTTTTTCTTCTCAACATGGGTTTTCTTTTTTATGGTTTTGGAAGAGGGGTTGATGTATTTTTTTTTTCTTGTAAGGCCAGATAGTAAATGTTCCAGGCTTCGTGGGCCTTTGTGTTTTCTGAGGCAACTGCTCAGTCCTGCTACTGTAGCATGAACGTAGTCCTAGACAATGTAGACAGAAGTGGGCCCGCTTATGCTCAGTAAAACTATATTCATAGAAGCAGGCAGCCTTGGGGCACCTGGGTGGCTCAGTGATTGAGCGTCTGCCTTCTGTTCAGGATGTGATCCTGGAATCCAGGATCAAGTCCCACGTCGGGTTCCTGCAGGGAGCCTGCTTCTCCCTCTGCCTATGTCTCTGCCTCTCTCTCTGTCTCTTGTGAATAAATGGATAAAATCTTAAAAAAAAAAAACAAAAAAAAGCAGGCAGCCTTCTCTAGCTTTGCTTTGCTCACCTCCTGCAGAGCTCAAATGCTGTAGAATCCCATGTGAATTTTTAATTTACTTAATTTTTTTTATACATGAACGTTTAGGACACTGTTCTGTTCTTAACTTTTCCATTCTCTTGCAATGAGTGTCTTCCTACAGTTAGCTTCTTTTTTTCATTTATGTGTATCAGACAATTTCAATAAGGTACATTTCAAGAACTCTTGAAAGTCTTGTCAGATTGCTCTTTAGAACCGCAGGGGCTGGGAAGCCTTAGCTTCACCCCACCTGGCCTGGTCTGAAAAGCATGCCCCAGGGAAGTGAACATGATCAGGAGCCTGTGCCAGAGAGCAGCTAAATAGAGTACTGAGGGGTTTAGGTTACATCATTTGAGGTTACCACTATTACAGTTTTGAGCTATACAAATAGCACTTGTGTGTAGTTTTGACATAATAAATATACATTTTATTGACCTTTTCATAGGACATATCCTCTACTGTTGCACCTCAGTCTTATCCTAGGCTTCTATTCAGTGTTCCTCACCCTGAGTTGGGTCTTTGGCAGGGACTTAAGGAGTGGTGAGCTGAACTCATGCAAGTGAAGATATTCTTAGCCAGAGGTGGATAAACAGGTTTCACAATATCATGAACCACCAATACTGATGTAAATTTTAAGAATCTATGAGTACTCCATAGTAACTTATCCTGTGCTATGTAGCTTAGTGGATGGTGAGGCCCAAGATTCAAATCTAGTGCTTTGGGGTTCTAAAGCCAGACATTTTTAACACCGTTCCGAAATAAATTCAGAGAGTGTCAGATGCAATAAGGTAATTTTACTTTAAGTATAGTTTTGCCCATAGATTCCTCTTCCTCTAAACTCAGGGTTTGCAAACCACAGGACTGTTTTTTGTAAATAAAGTTTTATTGGCACACAGCCTAGTTCATTCATGTCTGTGTTCCCTATACATCTTTCATAATGCAGTGATGGAGTTGAGTGGTTTTGACAGAGGCCTTATAGTTGGCAAGCCTTAAAATATTAATTTTCTGGCTTTAAAAAAAACAGCTTGCTAACCCCTACACACAGGTAAAGTAATATCCATCATATTAATTAGAAGTTCGCAAATGATGACCCGTGCACCAAAAATAACCTGTGTATTTAAGGAAAGTATTGCAACACAGCTCACTTCGGTGCCAATTTGTTTATGTTTTATCTGACTGCTTTTGGGCTTCTGTGCCATTAGATTAAGTCAGTGCCTTGAAACCAGCCCAAGTCCCTCCTCGCTGGAATTTAGCATGACTTTTTTTCCTTTCTTCCTCCTATACCCTGTGCTGTCGTTCTGGATTATGTGTCCCTCCTACAAGAGGAGATGTTACAACATGAGGGTTTGTAAACTCTGGAGCCAAAGTATGAGTTGAATTTCCAGATCTATCACATTGTAAGTGTTTTTCAATATTAACATTGCAGTGAGACAAAGGGCCATATGAGTGAAATTAAATGAGGACAATATTTAATAATCAGGTCCCTCTTGGTGCTTCCCTAATCAGAATTTCCTACTAAATTGTGAGGTTGACAAAGGAAAGAATTCTGTTTGGTTGCATGGAAATGTTTCCCTCTTTGTTTCATAGTTTGTTGGAGTCCATATTCTTGGAGTAGAAAAGTATAGTCTGACAGCCTGAGCAGAATTTTGTTTGTGCCACTTGACAGCTCTGTTAATTTAGGAGCTCGGTAGCCTCACAGAGCTGGGTGGGCCTCCACTCTTGCTGGTAAAATGGAGTTATCGAAGCCTCTTTCCTCATAAGCTTCTGTGAGGACTGAAAGAGGGACTTTTGTAAAATGCCTGGAATGTGGCAGATGCTCTAAAAATGTTTCTTTTCCTGCTTTTGATTCCCAGAAGTGTTTTCTTATGTAAATTTTGTTTGGCACTGATTGATGGTAGTCTTAGAAAAGTTTATTTCTCATCTTTTTCTAGACTAATTCTCAGAATGTAACCTCTCAGGGTGAAGTTTTTATTTTGGTTGGCAGAGGCTCGTTCCCAAGATGAAATGAAGAAGAAGCATCTTGACGGTGAATGGGAGACAGGGAAATGGACCTGAGAGATGAACACAGATTCACTGGACATTTCCTTCCCCAATTTTATTGCAGTATAAAGAAGAGGGTCACAGGGTCACCAGTTACTGCAACGAGACCATGACCGGATGGGTGCACGATGTGCTGGCCGGAACTGGGCTTGTTTCACTGGAACCAAGATAGGAACTACCTCTGAAAAAGCGAAGGTGAACACAAAACACATTGAGAGGCTCCAGGAAAAGTGAGTTGTCACAAGAGGAAGATACCTTTAGTTTTGTTTTATAGTATGTAGAAATATGTGTCTGGGTTAGTTCTTGGTAAGTTTTATTGTGATTCTATAAAATTTATTTGACCTAGAAATGTAACCCATATTCTTTAAAACTTAACTTGTGTTGATTAATGGAACTGAGAGAAGAAAGTTTTTTTTTTTTTTTTTCACAGCACTCTAAAAGTAATGGCCCAATGATGGCTTTAAAGGAAATTGATATGAAAGACTAGAGAATTGCAGTGACAAAAATCATTTTATTATTGCCTGTAATAACATGTATGACACTCATAGATACATATGTTTATGTTACAACAAATGTAGGTGATATTAATTGAATAAATTTAACACAAAGCAGTGAATAACTGAAATAAAAATTCTCAGTATTTATGTAGTGTATTAGTTTGCTAGGGCTGCCATAACTAAGTACCCCAGACTGAGTGGCTTAAGCAACAGAAATTTATTTTCTCATAATTCTGGAGGCTAGTAGCCCAAGATCAGTGTCAGCAGGTTTGGTTTCTTGTGAAGCCTCTCTCCCTGGCTTGACATGGCCACCTTCTCTCTGTGTCCTTACATGTCATCCCTCTATTTTTCAAACAAGTGCACCAAGTCATATCAGGGTTGGGACCACCCATGTGAATCTCATTTTACCGTAATTACCCTATGAAAGGTCTTCTCTCCAAATGCAGTTATTTTCTGAGATTCTGGAAATTAAGACTTAAACCTGTGGATTTTGGAAGGACACCATTCAACTTATAACATGCAGTTAAGTGTTCTTGTTAAGTAAGGTCCACTTTAAGTAACTGAACCACACAAACAGGAGATTTCAGATTTTATTCCTTCGGAAGGAAAAGATAAATAGATATTAATGACAGCAACCTTTTCTGTTTCATTTAGTTTGTGAAATCCACTGGAAATACACATGAATAAATCACCCCAAACCAGGCCATGCTGGCAATGAATGATTCTGTAGTAGTGAGACTGGGGACATGAGTTTAAAGGGGACAAATTGTACTTGTCTGGGAAAGTACTCACCAAGATCTAAACTAATACATCCCTTCCATTTTGAACTTACCTTTTAAATTGCTTTGCTTGACTTGATCCTTGAACAATATATCTCCTGTTCACCTGTTCACTTTCACTTACCATTTAGAATGTACTATGTACTAATGTGCTGTTTTTGATACATCAGACATTGCTTTATTTAATGAAGAAGCTATTAATGGGAGTGCTCAGAACCTGTGTTGTTTCATCTATAAAATCAGCACTGGGGACTAAATTACCTTCAAGGTCCCTTTCAGCTCTTAATGATCTGTTATCTCATAGTAAAGTACATTATCTTTAATTTCCTTGGATCTTAAACACTAAAAGTGAGTGTTTAAGACCTACCTTGTCGTTATTGTAAGCACATGTCAGTGTGTGATGTTTACTAGATGTCAATGATAAAGCAAAGGAAGTAGGGCTGAGTTACTGCTTCTCAAAAGTCAATAGTGACTCATCAGTAGAAAATACTTCAAAATATACATTTACAATTTAAAACTTACCCTCCTGTCTAAAGAGACAAACTGCTGTCACTTGTTTTTGTTGTATTAGTGTATCAGAAATATGATACAGTCAGTTTTAAAATCTAGTAAAGGTAGCTCTCTGGTTTCACACTTTGCAACAAGAAGGAAAGAACTTTGATAAAACCATGTAAATAGAATCACTATAACTGCACATCTTTCTTATTATTTTCAGTGCTCTCAGATTTTTTGACTATATCAAAATACTTCCTCAATGAACATATAAATAAAAAGAGAAAGAGAAGTTTACAGTATGTGTAGATGCTACTCAGATTAGGTGTATCTTGCTTTGCATAATTGGGAAGTCTTGGACAATGAGTCACACTTAAGTGACAGACTCTTCTTTAGTAGAAATAATAGGGTGTATTCTATAATTCCTAACACCTGGCACACAGGTTTGATACATGTTTGAATTATATGACTAATCAGCTCCCCCAATCCTTTTGCTTTGTAAACATGCTCTATGTGTTAGATTTATTTATATCCATATCCAAGCATTTACTATCAGGGAAACCAATGCTTCTCAAATTTTAATGTTATTGTGAGTCAACTGGGAATCTTGTTAAAAATGCAGATTTTGATTTGGGTGATTTGGATTGGATATTTCGAAGGCTTCCAGTGCTGCTGCTAACACTGGATTCAAGAACCAAATTTGAGTAACGGATATGAACCCAGGTCCAGTTTAATAATTTTTTTTTGCATCACATGGTAATGTTTGCAATGCTATATGCATGTGATATATAGTTCCTCCTGTTCTCTCCTTTTTTATTATTATTACAAAGTTATAAAAGTGCATTGTAGAAATTGTAGACGGTGGAAAAAAGTGGTGATCCTGGGTTGTCACTCAGAGATAACCATTTTTGGCATTTAAAAAGTGGATTTATAATATATTTTTACAAAAATTGGTTAATTCTGTATAAACTACTTTGATAGCCTGTCTTATTATTTAATATAGTGTGAACACTCTTCTGTACTGCTGATTATTTTACCAACAAAAGTTGGTTTTATATGGGAATAGCAGAGAACTGTCATTGAGACAAGCAAGTTCAGGCAAAAACTGTAGGCAATGCTACAGAACAAAAAAGAAGCATGCTCTTGTATAGAGGAAAGGATGGACCTGGGAGGGCTGTTATAAACAAAGTTCATTGGATGAAACTGGGAGTTGAAAGTCTAGTGGCTTCTCATTGGCTGAGTTGTGGCTGTCTCTCAGTTGTCTGGGCTGTTGCCAGGGAAAAAGGTAAGCCCTTCTTCCTCTTGCTGGGATAGTGAAATAGTATCCACATGCAAGGTCCCTATCTTCCTGCTAGATTTGCAATTGATGAAGAGTGATAGGACATGAGAGCTCCCCCGCCAAACCTTCTTACTCCATTTTAGTGAGGTTTCCCTTAATTAACATTTACACACTAAATAATCTGTACATTTTTACTGAATAAACTATTTACTTTTATCATCCCTTATCTGAGAACATTTATTTAGGTTATTTACAGTTTATCACTATTATAAGAGTGTTTCATTGAACATCCTTATATATACAACTTAGTTAACTTGAACTTTTATTTTTATAGGAGACATACCAATTCCAGGCTGTTAGTATACATGTGCATCTCTTCCACCAAAAGTGCTGAAGGGTGCTTTTTGGACCCTCCTCATAGATTGTCTCTTCATGTATGAACCAAACCCAGATTTGCTTTGATGCCAGAAAAACTGAGCTTTGTTTGAGCAAAAGATATCAACAGACACTGCTATAAACAGCAGTTTGTTTAAAATAAGATGAGTAAGGAAGAGGATGCATTTCAGAAGCCTGATAACTTTAGAGCCAAATTAAGGGGATTTTTCAGATCAAAAATTGATTACATTTATTACTAGTGTCTGATGCAGTTACTCATGGCTCCCAAGAATTTTTGAGCTAAGTTAATGGAGTTGTACTCTGAAGTCCTTAATAAAAGGACTTGAGTCCAGTGAACTTTTATTAGGGTTAAGAATACTTCAGGCATCCTTAATAGTTTGGTTTTTGTTTTCTGAAGTTGGATTTTATTTTACCTGAAAATTTCAGCTTATCTAAATTTTGTGTTCTGTACATGTGATGTTTAACTATACCATTGACTATTATGGAAATTCAGTATTATATGACACTGCACTGTGGTGCACTTAGCTTATTAAACTGTAAAATAAAGATTATTTTGAAGATTTGAATATTTGAAGTTGTATTACCAAAAATAAATAAATTTGCCTTCTTAAAAGATTATTCCACTTTCTACTCAGGCTCAGTATAAGGATGCTTCTTTTAATGGAGTCTAATTACATCAATAAAGAGGATAACTGAGGCTATCTTATTTTTGTTGGCAGCAATTCTAATAGTATCTACAAATACAACTATGAGTTTGTGAAAGCGATCAATACCATTCAGAAGTCTTGGACTGCAACCAGATACATAGAATATGAGACTCTCACCTTGAGAGACATGATGAGGAGAGGTGGTGGCCGGAAAATCCCAAGGTAATAAAACATATCCCTTTATCACTAATAAGGTATTTGTGTTGAATGTCATACTCCCTTCCATTCTGCTCTCCCTAGTTTGCCCACAATTTTATTGGCCATTGCAACCTAAACTTTTTATGTTATTTTTTTTTCCCGACCGTCTCCCTATCCTTTCCTTGGATCTTCTGGTGCTCTGAGTCCTATTGATGGGTTCTGCTTTCACAGCATCTGCCACTTCCATCATTCTCCTGCCATTTTCTACACACTGGTGTAGGGTTTTGTCATTTCTCTGCTGCGTTGTGGGTCAGCCTCACACCTCCTGTCTTCTAGTCCTACCTCTTTGGTCTCTTTCCCTCTCAGCCATTCTCTAAAATGCCACTTTCATCTTCTTGTATCCAGATATGGTTGTGTTACTACCTATCTTTTTAAAAAATATTTTATTTATTCATGAGAGATACACAGAGAGAGGCAGAGACCTAGGCAGAGGGAGAAGCAGGCTCCTCGCAGGGAGCCTGATGCGGGACTCAATCCTGGACCCCAGGATCCCACCCTGAGCCAAAGGCAGATGCTCAAATACTGATCCACCCAGGTGTCCCTACTACCTATTATCTTATGAATAAATTAACCTGGTAACCAAAGCCATCTAAATTTGACTATGCTTTAATTTAGTACCATGACCCATTTTTGAACAAAATGACACATAATCACCAAAATCTTTACTTTCAGGTACCTCCATTCAGGCTGCTCCCTTTACTTCAGATATCCCTCAACTTGCCTACAAAAAACTGTCCGATTTGTCACCTGTAAAAATCTCAAAACCCTCTCTCTTGCAACATCCAGCAAAAAATTGCTGCATATTTATCAATGTACCTCTACTACCTACAGCCAGAAGTGACACTTCCCGTCATTAGCTTACATACCACCCCATCGCATATTTCTTATTTAGGAGATCAGGTAACAAATACTTTGAATTTATATAGTCAAGAATTTGGCAATTTTTAAAAAAATTCCTCCCAACTATAGCTGGATCACTCAAAATATATAGACCCTTAACATTTGTTAAATGGCCAAAGATATTCCTATGATTCCATGTTTCAGGAGAAATTGGTATAACCAAGGGGCAGAGAACTGGAAACCAACAGGGAGTGTAGTGAGACTCAATTTTCAGAGAATACATTATTTCCTTAATATCTATAGGGTTTCTGGTTCAAAATTTGTTTGAACAGGCCACTGATTGGTTAATTAACTAAAATGCATTTCTAACTTTTTCATTTGCAGACTGATAATCCTAACACTCTGACATTTTTTCAACTATGAGGCTGTCTGGAGATTTTTCCTATCTCATCTAATAGCACTCTCTCATAATTCTGCCCCATTCTAAAGAGAATCTCGTATAGTATTTCTCAAAGTGTATTCTAAGACATTTCTAGTCTGTGAGACCCAGGTTAATGGCAGTTAGGAAAGGGAACATGTTGTAACCCTTCTCAGGTTCGCTAAAGTGAAGGAGTTACACTGTGTATATGAGACAGGAAGTCGAGAACTGTTAAGTAAAAATCCACAGCAGCATGAGAGGAAGGCATATCAGCATCTGAGCTTAAGGTCCTGGAGCTCCTGCCTGAAAGATTTGAGCCTCAGACACAGTTGCTTTTCCCTGTGTCGTTGGCCATGCTTCTGAGGAATTCTTTTACTTTTGAGACTTCTTCCCTCCACCCAAGCACCTTTGTGTTAGAGAAGGGCTGGCTTTATGAAGGGCTGCTTTTAAGGCAAAGCTCCATAGAAGTTAAAGATAGGAGAGAAAATTGAATGAAATGGGAAATACTAAAACAGACATTGTGGTCTGGCTGCCTAGTTTTCAGTAGCATTTTTGTATATAAATTAGGTCTCATAGAATTCAGTGACATAATAGAAACCCACCCTCAGAGATTCTTATCTTGAGGTTTAGAGAGTCATTGAAACTGCCAAAAGTATAGAAAAATGTATTGGTTATGGTCATCTGCCTAAGTTCAGAGCTTTTACCAGACTCTGAAAGAATCTAGACCCAAATGATTAAGAGCTTTTAATGTGTAGTGAACCGGTAATCTTTGCAGTTGTTCTCTATCTTACAAATTCATCTTTCAAGCTTCATTTTTATGTCATTGAACTTCGATTGTCACAGTGTTTGATTGGTTTGTCTGTGCATTGACAGGCAAATACCCTGCCTTATAGGATGGTAGGGGGAAGGAAGTTAACATTTGAGTGCCTGCTGTGTGCCAGATGATCACTTAAATAAATGTATCTACACATATTTAGTCCTCTTAATGACATGGATGATGATGATGATAATGGTAGTTATCATCATAGGAGCTTAATCTAAGGATTTGCAGAAACAGGAACTATAGTAATCTTTACTACATTGATTTTTTTACAAATATTTTATTTATTTATTCATGAGAGACACATAAAGACAGGCAGAAACATGGGCAGAGAGAGGAGGAGGCTCCCTGTGGGGAGCCTGATACGGGACTTGATCCCTGGACCCTGGGATCACGACGTAAGCCAAAGGCAGACGCTCAACCACTGAGCCACCTGGTTGCCCCACTACATTGAATTTTTATAATTTTTAAGGTATGTATGATTCTACTCATTTTAATAGGAGTCATTTGGAGTTTTGTGATGTTTAAGCCCTGTGAGTAATGTCACATAGCTGGTGAGTAGTGAAACCATTTGTTGGAGGTCAGTATGACCCTAAGCCTACTCTGAAATTACGTTTTGCTGTCAAACTTCAATTCTTTATCTTTTAAATTACTTAATGTATTCTTAAGTATATACAGGACAATTAGTTAATATTTGATTGATTAAATCTGTTGGCCTCTTAGTGTGAAATCACAGAAACTGTTTATTTCCTTCCAAAAATTGTTTGTACCCTAATTTTTACTTAAAAATCTTAAGGAAAATATTCAAGATTTGTTGCTTGGTTTGTTTTCTCCCTTGCCCTATATACACAGTTTTCATGGTGCATAGCTTTTTAAGTACCTTGGTTATTCCATGGACATTATCCAAGTTGTATGTGTAACGTTAAACTTCTTTGTATTTGTGATTGTAATTGCTCCGTTTCATGTCTCTTAACGCTGTACCTCATATGGTCAAAGACTACCTCATGTTCATCTCTCTGTCATAGACAGCTTCCAGCAATGTCCCTGGTTTAGCTAATATTTTAATGAAAAATTGACATTTCTGTAAGGAATTGTCTATTTTTATAATTCTCAAGATATGATTGCTATTGAGTGATTCTTTTTTCTCTCTCTCTATTTTATCTCACTTCCATTGTGTCTTAACATTGACTTACATCCCTCTAAAAGAAGTGTGTGAGATAGGGAACTCCTTGGGAGTAGTTGCAGAGGACCTGAAAAAGTGCAGAAATTATCTTTGCCAGTGACTAAAGTGGAACCTGGTAGAGAGCACTGGATAATCACTGAAAAGTTTGAACAGTACAGTCTGGCAATGCCAAGTTGAATGAGATATTCAAGTAGTTATAGTATCAGAAAGATACATGTTATCCTGGTGTAACAGTAGTGCCATAACTCAGGAGTTGATAGAGCATAGAACTGAGATTTTCCTTGTGGAGTGGTGGGTAAGGGCTGCTCTGTGAGCAGTCCTTACATTAGAAGTTAGGGAGAAACTCCTAAAATAATTTCTTCTAAGCAGTGGGCAATAGGCACTTTAGAGAAAAGGAGCAGCAGCGCAAAGACGTGGAACACTGAAATCATTTAGCAGACTCGGAAAGCTCCCAAGAAATCTAGTGTGTCTAGAGCTGGAATGCTGTTTGTTTTAAATTGCTAATACAGAGAAGCTTGTAGAACAATTTTCTCATTTCCAGACTGTGTCTTACTCATCGTTCCAAGCAACTCTTCTTTTCCTGTCTTCCTTTCTTTCTTTTTTTTTTTTTAGATTTTATTTATTTATTCATGAGAGACGAGAGAGAGAGAGAGAGAGAGAGAGAGAGAGAGAGAGAGAGAGAGAGAGAGAAGCAAGCTCTATGCATGGAGCCTGACATGGGACTCCATCCCGGGTCTCCAGGATCAGGCCCTGAGCTGAAGGCAGGTGCTAAACCGCTGAGCCACCCGGGTTGCCCCTGTCTTCCTTTCTAACCATCTCATGTAGGATGCAGTTTGATAATGATTAAGCATTTTCATCTGTTGTTTATGGAGCTAGTCAGTCTACTTTATACTTAGACTTCAAATTTCTGTGCTTGCTTCACTTCTTTTACAACTAATTCACTATCACCACCAGCCATCTCCTGAGTCAAACCTTGGTGGTTCCTCTCTTTCCTCTTGTGTCCTTCATAGGCCATTTTAAATTCCCATGTGTTTATTTTCTTGGTCAAAATCTGTTTAAGAAAATGCAGCTATCTAAGCATACTAAGAGTAGCATCTCAGTGATATACAGACCCAGTGTCATTTCATAGAAGAAATTTACTAGATCCTGAAAAAGAAACAGATAATGAAAGCCATTGACACACTTAGTTGTGTAATTGAAACATTGTGTATGGGATGCCTGGATGGCTCAGCAGTTGAGCGCCTGCCTTCGGTTCAGGGGGTGATCCCAGAGTACCGGGATCAAGTCCTATATCCAGCTCCTTGCATGGAACCTGCTTCTCCTATCTCTGCCTCTCTCTTTGTCTCTCATGAGTAAGCAAATAAAATCTTAAAAAAAAAAAAAAAAAGAAAGAAAGAAACATTGCATAATGGACATGTTGTATATTTGAAACAATGATGGGACAAGGGCTTTTTGGGCTTGAATCAAGATTCTAGGCAGCCAGGTAATTAAAATCATGGAATTAAAGATTAGGAAATTGTTCTCAAGGGAAAGACTATATACTGAAGTCAAATGTATATTTTCATCCTAGGCCTAAACCCACAGCACTGACTGCTGAAATACATGAAGAGATTTCACGTTTGCCAACATCATGGGACTGGAGAAATGTTCGTGGTACCAATTTTGTTAGTCCTGTTCGAAACCAAGGTAAAAAAAAAAAAAAGTCTTATTTTTTTCATTCATTTGTTCTGAAATATTTATTGAACATTTACTATGTGTCAAGCTCTCGCGTAGATTCTGGGGGTACAGAGATTCAACAGGCCTGATCCACTTTAGTAAAGAAATGGAATAGATATGTCCAGTGGTCACTTCTTCCTTTTATATCCATGACAGACTTTGATAATAGATAATCTCTCCAGTTGAGCCCAGCATTTTTTGAGTATCCTTCTCGAAATACATTCTAGCTAACTAATGAAATTAATAAGTAATGGGAAGAAACTCATCTGCCCTCCCCAGTAGGAGAGACTCATGTAGAAACAAAGAATGGCATAGAATTAAAATTGATCTTCCTTCTGCAAGTGGTTTGGAGGAATCCTTCTATGCTATTTGTCCTCCCACTCTCCACCTCCCCCTGTCCCCCATCATTTAGTTTCTAATTACCATAAAAGCCCAGAAAAATGGATCCTTAAATTTTTTTTCTGGTAGATTTTTTGAGCTGTGTAAGGACCTTTTTAATTCACTTTATGTCAGAACATGACATATGATGGTACAATTTAACCCAGCTTCCTGAGTGGTGGCCTTGCAGAGCCCAGATTTACCAAAAGCATCACTCTAATTGCATTTTACCCATTATTTTCAGAAATTTCATACAATATGAGTAGATTTAATAACTCTTCCTCTAATAGTACTTGATAGCAAATTATCTTGTTATATTAAATTTTAGCCAACAATGACTTGGAGAATCATTTATACCATACTCAGGTTTATTATTTCTAAGCTCATTTTGAAGATAATTATAGCACACATGACTGATTTGTTACTATAAAATAGGTGTAGTATTTGCTGTCTGGAAACATTCTGATTAGTGTCTCCTGAGGATTATAAATTAATAACACCCAAAGATAAATTGTTCTTCCCTTTTCCTGGAAACTCTGTGATAATCAACCCCTCTCACTTCTCAGTGTTCACCACCAGCCCTCCAGTTCCATGCTTACTGAATTCTTGCCAAGTATTCTGAGTGTACAGAGCTTGGAGCAGGTTTTATAGCTGCCAGCCGGCAAGGCTTCTGTCCTGCAGTTGACATCAGAGATCTCATCTCTTTGTCTTTGCTTTTACAAGTTCTTCTGGAACTCTTCAGCTCTAGAGAAAGTGTGGATCCTGAAATGTCTCCCCTACTTTTTCTTTCCTGGGTAGGGCTTCTTTGGAAAGGAGGCTTAGGAAGTGAGAGAACTTTTAAGGTAATTGAGAAATGAATGGGAAGTGAAATTAAAGGGTTGGTGTTAAGAGAGGATTAAAATGTACTCTGTCATCAGATTCCTTATATCTATCTGACAAGATTAAGTAAATAATGCTTGTCAAGTGTCGATTATTGAGAACCTGACACATGGTTGCTTTCTCTGTAATACAGTGTTTATAGAGTACCATGTGTTAGGATTTTTGATGACTGAGGTTATAAAGATTACTGCAGCATGGCTCTTGTCCTAGAGACTTGCAGTTTAGCAAGATCTGCGAGCAAGATATAAAAATACAGTATGGTAACTACTTTAAGAAAGTGTTTTTTAAAATTCATTGGGAGCATGGGAGAAGGTCAAAAGAGAAGTTTAGTTCCACTCATTTCCCGAAAGATACAGTTGACTGGTGACGAGACAATAATCCAGGGGATGGAAATTAGACCTTTTAAAACCAAATTCTCAGACATTGGTTTTCTTGTAGCTTGGCAAAAACTATTGTTCTCTGATGTTTCATCTTGTTTGAGTGCTATAAATATGATTTGTACAGCATGGGCAATTTTTAAAGGTTCCTCTTTTGACTTCCTTTTGGTTTTCTTTACTTTAGGTTGGGGAAAAATTATTTTCTCTTCTTGAAAACTGGGCTCCTTGGAAATTTCCACTAACTTTAGGAACACCGCATTCTAGAAAACCCAGAATTCAGAATGACCCAAGTTAAGGGAATTCACAACTTTTCTGTATTCAGAGAGCAAATGAAAATTAACAAAAAAAGAAATATTGGGAAGACAAAATGAGGTTTTACTGTTAAACCTGAAAGCAGCTCTAAGCACCAGCCATATAGCTAGATTTATATTCAAGTGTGAGAGGGAAGAGAAGCTAGGCAATTGGAAGACTTGGACTTTCTGTCTTCTCTCTGCTATACTGTTGTTATTTATTATTATATCTTCAAGAGAGAGGGGGTGTGTTTCTCAGGTCACGTCAATTATCGTAAATGCAGTGTTTTCCTACTGTCTAAAATCTAGTTTGTTTAAATCTTGTTCTGAATACCATCTGTACTATTAGAGCTAGAACAGAGAGACCTTATTAAATTGTCTTCCATGCTGTTCACTTTATATACAAGATAAAAATAAATGCCAGAAAGTTCCAGTGATTTGCCCAGGGTCACACAGCTGAATGACAGGGTAGGGGTGGAGAAGATTCCTAATTCCTTATTCTTAGCTCACAGTGTGTTCTCCACCATGGGAAGGCTCAGCTGAACACAGTTCAGCTGTGAAAATCACGTTACCTAGTTGAAATTGTGGAAATGTGCTTACTGACCCTGCTGCCATGGCCCAGGAATGCTGGATGACCAAAATGGGGCCATTTCCATATTCTCAGGATGTTAGTTATTTCATGACTCTGGTGTCTCATGAAAGGAAGACTGGCTTTGTCTGTTAACTGTCTCTGATCTGGTTCTTTGTCACTCAATCATTTGAAAGATGGGTCCCAGGGATAGTGTTACTTGGATGGTTTCAAAAACAAGATGTGCAAGTTAATTTTGGCTTAGTTAGTAACTAGATGATAGGGAAGAAAATTTGAAAACTCATTAAAGTAGTTACAGATCTATAAACTGAAAAGAATATAAGCTGCCTTGGGAGACACCTAGCTGCTAGCATCTGCCAGCTGTTAGTTTTGTGACTTTGGACAGGTCATTGTTTCTTTCTGAGTCTCAGTGTACACATCATCAAGTGAGTAGTACACTAAATGAATTCAATATCTTCTTCCAAGAGTTTATCTTCATAGTTCAGGTGATCTCTTGGCAGCAAAAGCAGTATATGGTATGGATAAATCTGAGATATTTATAGGGAGAAGTTTGGGGAACACGTGAAATGGTAGAGTGGTTTGAGCTCTAATAGGCTCAGTCTAGGACCTGAGGTGGTATTGAGTCACTTGAGAGAGCTCTCACTTTAGGTGAGAAGCCCTAACTATAAGGGTGCCCCCTTTATAGCTTAGAAACAAGTAAAAGTTGGGATCCCTGGGTGGCGCAGCGGTTTGGCGCCTGCCTCTGGCCCAGGGCGCGATCCTGGGGGATCGAATCCCACGTCGGGCTCCCGGTGCATGGAGCCTGCTTCTCCCTCTGCCTATGTCTCTGCCTCTCTCTCTCTCTCTCTCTCTCTCTCTGTGACTATCATAAATAAATTAAAAAAAAAATTAAAAAAAAAAAAGAACTGTTTAGAAACAAGTAAAAGTTGATGGCTTCCAATAAAGTCACCCTTTTTTTTTCATGGATGTAAGTGTATGTCTACTTGTTCATAACTTGGGTCTTCCTGTTATAAATATACATTGAGTTTCTTCATTGCATCAGGCACCTATATGAAGAAGGCACATTTCCTGTGTACACTCAAGGAGATTCACAGTTTAGTTTGAGGAAAGCAATATAAGTAATTCAGGTAGAGTTTAGAATGTTGGAGGCTGAGCAAAGAGTGGTCTGGCTTTCTTTTGCATTCAGGGAGGAACATGAATCGACATTACCTAGGGAAGGTAGTATCCTGATAGTATTCTAATGCATAGTGTTCTTTTGGATACTCTTCTCTCTAAGTAGTAAATTACTAAATTCTGATTTATTTATTTTTTTTAATTTTTATTTATTTATGATAGTCACACAGAGAGAGAGAGAGAGTCAGAGACACAGGCAGAGGGAGAAGCAGGCTCCATGCACCGGAAGCCCGACGTGGGATTCGATCCCGGGTCTCCAGGATCGCGCCCTGGGCCAAAGGCAGGCGCCAAACCGCCGCGCCACCCAGGGATCCCTAAATTCTGATTTATTAAAGAGAACAAAGGCAACACACACTTTATGTAGAATGAATTTTTTGAATTTAATGTCTATTCATTAATTTTATTATATATTATTATTATTATTATTATATAATCTTATGATGTGTAAGGGAGTGCTCACCATTCAGATAATTTGGTGAATAATTTATTAGTACATTAAATAACCTCTTTTGTATGTAACTATATTTATATACCAATGTTTTGGATTTGGTACAAGCATATCTCCAAATCTCCAATTTGTATCAGTGGTAGTGGTAAAAAAGACTCTATAGTAATATAGACATTAAAATCTATGTTCATTTTTTCTAGAATTATGACAAGTTGAAATCCCAGTTTTGCTATATACATCCCATATTTTCTTCTTAAGTGTATTTATGTATTTACCCACATCTTTTGAGGAAACATAGAAAAATAATATTCATATAAATTACTTTAAAGTAAAACATTTTTCCAGGGCAGCCCCCGTGGCCCAGCGGTTTAGCACCACCTTCAGCCCAGGGCGCTCCCTGCATGGAGCCTGCTTCTCCCTCTGTCTGTGTCTCTGTCTCTGTCTCTCTCTCTGCGTCTCTCATGAATAAATTAAAACACACACACACACATTTTTCTTCTCTTAAAATAGCAACTATATTTCTAGCATATGCTTCTTAAGTACATATATTTTGTCCTCACCAGAGCATCCAGGTATTAAATAAAGCGGTTCCTTTTTCCTTTTTTTCTCTGACCTCTATCCAAGCTACTTTTTGTGTTCTTCTTTCCTCTGGGTGACACGTTTTGGGAGCCGTGGCTCTGCTGCTCTTCTTTTTCCCTTAGAACCATGTTGTTTTCAATTTCACTACCTCCATCTGCCTTCTTGCTTTACTTCCTCATTGGCCACCTTAGATACCATATTCATCATTACAATTACTCTCTTATCTTTCTTGGACTGTGTTGTACTTTGCCTCCTTGACTATGGTCAAATTGAACTTTCTATAATACATCCACACCTGAGCCACTCTTAGGGTTAGTTCCACCCAACAAGTAACTTTAGAAAATGCTGCTCCTGAGGGACACCTGGGTGACTCGGTTGAATATCTGACTCTCCATTTCAGCTCAGGTTGTGATCTCAGGGTCCTGGGATAGAGTCCCAAGTCTGGCTCCATGCTCAGTGAGGAATCTCCTTGGGATTCTTTCTCTCCCTCTCCTTCTGCCTCTCCCCCTCGTGCTCGATCTCTCTTTCTCTCTCTCTTTCTCTCTCCTCTCTCTCTATTAATCAAATAAATAAATCTTTTTAAAAAGAAAGAAAAAGAAAATGCTGCTCTTGAGATACTGAAAAGCTCAGCTCACATGTATCCTTCCATAGCTGTCTCTCAACTGAACGGCTCAGCATGCTGTAGACCTATATTATTTTTTCATTATCAAGAATACTATCACATGCTTTGCAGAGAGTAGAGGAGTGTTTTGAGTTTCATCTTATTTTGTTTTGCCTCCTAGAATAGTCTCAAGGAAAGCCCCATATAGTAACATTTGCCTTTTGGTGGAAATACTGAAATCTTGTTTGCCTATAAGGTTGTGTTGTTGATCGAATCTTCTATATTGGGCTGATCCTTATGAACAACAGTGGAACTCAAATAAATATATTATTGTGTCTCTCCACTCAGATTTTTCTGTGTTTCTTTGTAAGTGCTTCAAAGTTCTCTTAAGTTACATATCTTTCTTTTCCATCACCAGCATCTTGTGGAAGCTGCTACGCATTTGCGTCTACAGCTATGTTGGAAGCAAGAATCCGTATACTAACCAACAATACTCAGACTCCAATTTTGAGTCCTCAGGAGATTGTCTCTTGCAGCCAGTATGCTCAAGGTGAGTGCTGTATTTCAGGCACTGTTTACTTGGGTGTAGTTGGCCATTGTTGGCAAAGGAAAAAGGATGGTGTAGTAGAGACCACAGTGTCTGTAGTCAGAGCACCTAGGTGCAAGTTTTGGCCTAATCACTTATTAATGAGTGGTTCTCAAATAATTCACTGCACCATTCAGCAAAATGCCAATAGTTAGTATGCACTGAATGAACATGAGCTCTTTGGAGCCTTTTATGTACATTATCCAACAATGCTCAAAACCCTGAGAAGTAGATATCCCTATTTATAGACAGGGGACAGACATGAAGTTATTCTATAATATTTTGAAGGCCATATATTTAGAGTTTCAGTTCCAGCTAAAGTTTCACTTCAAAACATAACTCACATTAAAACCGCACTAACCCTGGTTTCTCTCTAGGAGAATGTTACAATTCTGTGCTTGGGCTTTCAGAACAGGGAGTGTGTAATGATGTAGAAAGCCCAGCTGCAATTGATTTAGAATGAAATATTCTCATTTTAAAGTTTTCTGCTGTCAACCCCAGATTTGGCCACTAGAAAATGAAACTGCTTAGGAATGATTATTTTGTCATTAGGCCTTTTGGTCTTTCTGAAATACTTATTAAACATCAACAATGTGACTTCTAGGCCCTGTGGAACTAAGTATCAAGACAGTCCTTACCCTCATGAAGCTTACACTTAAGTGAGGAAAGTAGAGGTCAAGTATTTAAAAGAACAATGAAGAAAATAAAAAACCACAGGATTACGGATGTGTATAATATAGCAAGGACTAGAGGAGGGTGATATAGACCTGATTTAGACTTTTTTTTTGCAGGAGGTGGTCAGAGAAGTCTTTCTTCAGGAAAAGCCATGTTGTGGTGTCTATTTAATAATGACAATAGTGGCCAAATTTTATTGCTTTTACAGGAAGTAACTAATTTAATCCTGTAAGGAAAGTCCCATTCCTATCTATAATTTATAAATAAGTGAACAGAGGTACAGAGAAGTTTAATTCTTCACACAATTTTGGATTTGAACCTACATGGTCAGTCTTCAGAGCCTCCCCACTTAACTGTGATGCTCTGGGTACCTTCCACATCAGGTGCCAAATAACTACTTTCAATTAGATGAGGAGGAGAGGATTCTTAGCTAGATGGCTAATGGATGAATGAAGGAAGTAACATTTCAGCTAAGAACAACTCTTGAGTATAACAAAGAACTATTGGAGTAGAAGAAAGAGAGAGAAAAAAAAAAAAAGGAAATGGGACCATTTCTTCTGTGTCCGCCCCTTTTCTAATAGGGGGGTAATAATTGTGTGTGTTATTCATCCTCAGGCTGTGAAGGTGGCTTCCCGTACCTCATCGCAGGAAAATATGCCCAAGATTTTGGGCTGGTGGAAGAGGCCTGCTTCCCCTACGCAGGCTCTGATTCTCCATGCAAACCAAATGACTGCTTCCGTTACTACTCCTCTGAGTACTACTATGTGGGAGGTTTCTATGGGGCCTGCAATGAAGCCCTGATGAAGCTTGAGCTGGTCCGTCACGGGCCCATGGCAGTTGCTTTTGAAGTCTATGATGACTTCTTCCACTACCAGAAGGGAATCTATTACCACACTGGCCTGAGAGACCCTTTCAACCCCTTTGAACTGACTAATCATGCTGTTTTGCTGGTGGGCTATGGTACTGACTCAGCCTCTGGGATGGATTACTGGATTGTGAAAAACAGCTGGGGCTCTAGGTGGGGTGAAGATGGTTACTTCCGGATCCGCAGAGGAACGGATGAATGTGCAATTGAAAGCATAGCAGTGGCAGCCACACCAATTCCTAAATTGTAGGATATGGGTCCTGGCATTTCCTGTTGACCACCATTAGTCACGAAAGGGGATCAATTTATTCAGACCGAAAACTTTTATAGCAGCAATTTCAGATTACAGAGAGATTCCTATGAAGATTTTTGCCTTTAAAATTAAAATTGCCTTTGATTTAAATATACCTTTCCATTAACCACTGGCCTACTTTATAGCTACGTAGTAATAAAATGCAGGATTCTGTTCATTATTTTGATTCAAATATAGTATATTTTTTAAAGTCTTTGGGAGAACAGACATTTTTAAAATATAAAAGTCACAAGAAAAAATGGCAATGATTATTAAATTTTTTTAATGTTTTTTTGTAAGTGTTCAGGTGATATATATTACAGAATTTATACGTAATTGTAACAGGTTTCACCACTGACCCTTTCAGTTAGATTTACAGGTATTACTTATGTAAGTACTTTGAAAACAGAAAGAAATTGAGTGTATTTCAATTTAAAAAACTATGAACCTTTACAAGGGTTATACTCAAATAATGACTAGTTAACCCTAAAATTATCCCCTGGATATTTGATGAGCCAGAGTCCAAGAACAGAAATGAGTTTTGATAAAGATCTGGATATTGGTTAAAGTATCTTTTGGTGTATTTTGCATTTGGAAGTATTGGTCCACCTTCATTGGGTGAGTGTTTATAGCTTAATTAATGGGATGTTAACAGTTTAGATTTGGACAGATCTCTGAGATCTCCAGGGGATATTTCACAGTGATACAAAATCTCTATCCTGAGTAAACAGATGGCCTCTCTTAGAAATGATGTGACAATCAGGCAGATTGGGCCATCAGAGTTCTAAAACATAAGCAAAAACCACAACCCTCTTGGAGCCAGAAGGGACTATAGAGCTCATGTGATCTGTTCATGTCTTTGCACAGAAAGAGTGACAGGCTTAGGAAAGGGCAAGTGGCTCATGTCAGGTGACAGAGGTGGTGAATGACAGGGTCAGATTAGAACTGAGATCTTCTAAGTCCAGTTCTCCTTGAGTGCCTTAGACACTGAGTCTCAGGACTTTTCGCCAGAAAATCCAAAGCGACCAGATGCTACGTACACACTTTGACATGTTCAAGTGTTAAAGTTTTGTCTGAAACTTCATGTACTTTTTTGTATTGGAGTTCACTACAGTGAAGTCTTTTTCTCTCCTTGAACTGAAGTGACATGGAAGGAATATGCCCTATGATTAAGATGTGGCTTCTTGGGTGTCTTGGCCCACTGCCACATACCTTTGACTTTTTCACCACATGGTAACTCAGAAGCAGACACTCTGAATGGCAGACATAGCCAGGGCCCTTGTCATGTGGAAGACCTCCAAGGAGGTATGAATGCAGTCTTAGTCTTACTTTATTAACCTGGCCTTGTTGCTATTGGGAAAGTGTAAATAGACTTTGAAATCAAACACGAATTTCTTTTTCACTAAAACTTACAGAGATATGACCTGTTAGCTTAACAGATGAAATATTATTTAACATGAAGTGTGAGCTTATTCTCTGGTTTTCCACCTGCATGGCTGTCAGCTGACACATACGCATAAGTCATGAAGAGGTAGGGCAGCTGTGCTTTAGCACAATTCCATGAGGCCCCAGCTGGGCTATAAAGGAGAATCATTGCTGGTATCATTCATAAAATACTTTAGGAAATATTGAAAGACTAAATATAGGTGTGAACCTAACTGGCAATGGGAAGCAATTCTCATAAGCATGATTAGTTGAAAACAATGGTTTGAAGAGGCCCTAAATTTTCTGACTTTACAAGAGGGATTACCCAGAATGAGAACTCAGGTTCCACTGTGCTTCAACCTGCATTTATCTGCTATGAGAGTTTGCTTCTCCCATTTCTAGATGACTGATCACTACTTTATCCCTAGTGGCTGAACTCACTAAAGATGGTGACTAAGTGGAACATCATGGTTCCTCAAAACACATGATTAAACTCTTAAGCTGTGCAAAAAAACAAGCTTTGTAATCTAAAAGTTGTTTATATCGGTGCTAATAGAGCATGTAATCAAAGTCTGTTGACAGACTGAGCTCTGCAAAAAATGGGATGGGAACTCTGGCTAACCTCCCCGAAGACGTATTCAGAAGAACAACTGTTGTGTGTGTGTGGAGACACCACTGTCCACAAAAGGAAATAAAGGTTAGCTGGGTAGTCAAGTGCAAGGTTGGCATTGACTTGGGTGACTGTGGCCTGGGTCAGCATTCTGGCTCTGCCTCATGTTAGCCATAAAGCCTGAGGCAGTTTCCTTACCCAACCTGTGCTTCAGATTCCTGGACTGTAAACTAGAGATAACAGGGTAGTTAACCCTCCCTGTGTGAACTCTCCCTCTAAACTCTTATTGTTGCAATGAAGGAACTAATAGACTGGCACTTTTGGGCACCATTGTTTGCTTTCTTCAAGCTCAGGCCTTTCACCATCCCCAGTAGGGAAAGTGAAGTAGATTCAGATAAGCAGTTTCCCTGCCACCCAGATTTGCTCACTGACCTCTATTTGACCTCTAACCACTGAAGCCAGAAAGTGGTTAGGTTTGAATAGTAAGGGATACATGCACCTACTTCACAGAGTTCTCTGAGGGTTAAATGCCTTCCTATTATGTAGAGCATGTAAACAGTGCTTGGAACCTAGAAAGGAGTGTGTAAATACTAGTTATTACTCCAGTGTTATTTTTCTGAATTCAAATAGTAAAATAGTTGTTTGCTAGGAGGAGGCAGCTAAGACATGTTCTGTTAATAAACAAACTCTGGGGCAGCCCCGGTGGCACAGCGGTTTGGCACCTCCTGCAGCCTGGGGTGTGATCCTAGAGACCAGGGATCGAGTCCCATGTCAGGCTCCCTGCGTGGAGCCTGCTTCTCCCTCTGTCTGTGTCTCTGCCTCTGTCTCTCTCTCTCTCTCTGTCTCTATGAATAAATAAATAAAATCTTTAAAAAAAAAATAAGCAAACTCTGCCCTGCAATGAGACTTGAGGAGGGGCTTAGGAGATTTTTCTTTTAAGGAAGAAAAGAATCTACAGAAGAACACTGGCACAAAGAAACAGAAAAACCTCCCAAAACTTGGAGGCAATTTTGATTTTTTTTGGTACAGAAGGTTTTTTTGGCTTTTTTTTTTTTTAAGATTTTATTTATTTGAGAGAAAGACACAGAGATAGCACAGAGAGGAGAGGGAGAAACAGGCTCCCCATGGAGCAGGGAACCCAATGCAGGGCTCTGATTCCAGGACCCCGGGATCATGACCTGAGCTGAAGGCAGATGCTTAACCAGCTTAGCCACCAAGCACCCCGAGTTGTTTTTGTTTGTTTTAAAGATGTATTTATTTGAGTGAGAGTCTGTACATATGTCGGGGCGTTGGGGTGTCAAGATAGGGGGAGAGAAACCAGGCAGATTCAGTGCTCAGTGGGACCGGATCTCATAACCCTGAGATGGCAACTGAGCCTAAACCAACAGTTGGTCGCTTAACTGACTGCACCACCCAGGCACCCCTTGGTACAGAGGTTTCTACATCTTCACCATATAATTTCCTCTGTTGCCAGCTCTGTGGAGAGAGGAATAATGTGAGAGGACGTCAAATTTGGAAGGCTTCGACTGAGAGAAAAATCATTGCAATCTTTAAGCAAAAAACACTAAGGTTGTAATACATTTATTTTCCTATTTGGAATTTTCCTATAAAAATAAGATAAGCATAACAGAGTCACAAAACATGAGTGCTGGAAAATCATCTGGTTCACTGCTCATTAAAATAAAAATAGGGGCACAAGGGTCACTCAGTTGGTTAAGCATCTGTCTTCAGCTCAGGTCATGATCTCAGGGTCCTGGGAATGAGATCACATCAGGCTCCCTGCTCTGTGGGCAGTCTGCTTCTCTCTGTACCCCTCCCCCCTGCTCATGCTTTCTCTCTCTCTCTCTCTCTCTCTCTCTCTCTCTCTCTCTCACCTCACTCCCACACCCTCAAATAAATAAAATCTTTTAAAAAATAAAATAAAAATAAATAAATAAATACATACATACATACATAAATAAATAAATAATAAAATAAAAATGGGCTTACAGAAGTGAAGTAGCATACCTGGGGCTCTAGTTAATAAAGCTAAATCTAGATTCCACTGTATCCAGAACTTTCTACCATTCCTGCTGCCTCCCAATTACAAAAGGATAAAGAAATCTACATGTTGTGAGACACATAAACTCACTTGTTCCGTAAAATCATTTCTAAGTTATTTTCTAGCTTTCAGAAATCCTATTATCTCTCAGGGGCAAGTGCGCTAAGCTTCAATCCATGTGTGGTGGTTTGGAAGGCTTAATTTAACAGTTCTCCTCTAAATAGAGTGATATTAACATTTCTACTTCTTAACTGTAATAAATATTTATCTTTGGCCTAAAGTTAAGTGGAAACTTCCTGACCACAACTAGAAAACTTTAGATGTATCAAACTTCTGCTCTGACAGGAATTGCATGGCCTTGAAATTGAATATTGGTAGTGGGTCAGTTAGCCACTGGGCCTTAGTTTCATTAGCTGTGAAACACTGGCCTCATTGAACCGTTGCTGTGATTGAAACTGTGAAATCGCCTGGACTGTAAAATAATTGAAACCTCAGCAGACCTTCCTCTTGTGCCGTACAATGTCCTTGTGATGACAGCCTACCAAAATCTCAGGAGAGAAACCAACCTTCAGACAGAAAATGCAACACGTCCCTTTGCTGGAGTCCTCCCTTTTCCTTTCAGAAGTCCATTTATCAAGATTGCTTTTCTTCAAATGCTTTTTAAAAGTGGGCAGAAGTGAGAAATATAACCTCTACTTTTCCAAATTTGAGGATGCGATATGTATCCATAGCATGGAGTTTGAGCTTTCTGTCCTAAAAGAGTGTTTGTTTTTTGAAATTCCGTTCTAACAGATCATTAAAATGGAAAGAATATGATAAACTCCAAACCCCTCAAGTTGTGAGAAATGAAAAGCAGATTTGCTCCTTCCTCTTATGCAAAAGGTCTGAAGAGATTGAAATCTTAGCAATCAATTAAAAAGAATTAAGCTGGAGAAATAGCCTTCCCCTGCAGAAATGAGGGAAATGCCATGAAGCTAGTCTTGTGCTTTAAAGTAATCATTGAGATGTTTTATATTTTTCCTAAAATGTATTTTATGGTCCTTCAAAAGTATTGAATAGTTTAAGTGATAGAAAATGCTTTTAATATCAGATTTTTATACCCTCA